CCACGTGTTTTACTTTTTTGTTTGCTTGCTATTTGGTCAACCCCATACACTTGTTAGTAGTTTTAAATATATCATTTTCTTGTGTTTTTTTTCCCCTCATTTTTTCATTTTTATATGGTAGTAATGTGGGTTTAGGAAATTGAGTCACTCTAGAAAATGTGGAGAACTTTGAGACGACTACTGGTAATGATGAGACTTGCGGATGATAGAATGTTGATGTGACAATAGTATGTATACTTGGTAATAGCTGGAAAATTCAAAACAATGCGAGATGGCTACAAAGAGATAAGAAAGATGTAATTTCTGGTAGATGGAGCCATTATATAAGTAACCAGGAAAATGTGCAGTAGAGTAGAATTTAAAAAATAGTCTGAGAAATATAGGAAATGGAAGGATTTGTAGAAGCATGAAGTACAAGTGATTAGTTCTACAGAATGAGATGAGCAAAGTAATCAATATGTCAGGGTAAATTGTTAGGAATGATGGATGTAGCATCTGGTTAGGAGTGACTTGTGTAAACCTGACAAATGTGATATGTGAGTTTTAGTAAGTTGCAAACAAGTTGGGCATAGGGAGGTTAGCTGTTACTACCAACTCAAGAGAAACAGGTGTATTTTGCCCCAGTTGGGAAAGATATAGCTGTTACAGATTTCCCCTACTTTTTTTTCTTTATTAGCAGCAAATTCCAAGTAACAAAGAATTAAAGCTTGAATCTAACTACCTTTATAAGGTGCATTTCCTCATGTAGGACAAAATCTTCATGAAAAATAATCATAAGCATGATATGTGTTCATTGTAGAAAAATTAGAAGTAATGAAAAATAGGGGAAAAATGAAAGTTCCCAAAGCCTGAACCACTATTATCATTTAGCTTAATTCTGTTCTCTTGATTTTTATATGGTATCAGTCTGTCTCTCTCGATAGTAGATTTAAAATGTGCCTCTTTGTATATATAAATGCGTACTGTTCGTATATATCTATGTATTGTAACTGACTGTACTTCAATAAAAAAAGAAGTGAAAAAATTAGCTCCTATTTAAAAAATAAAGTAAAATAGGAATTATTTTATATGAAATATTTTATAGCCTGTTCTTTTTCATTTAATATTATGAACATTTCTCCATATCAGTAAAATTCTTCAAAGTGGTATTTAGTATCTACGTAGCATTCTATTTTTAGATTATCCCCAAATTCATTTAACCATTTACCTGTTGTTAAACATTTATTCTTTCATACACGCACACATACACACATACATACAATTTGAAGTGAATTAGCCTAATTAAAAATTTTGAGTCCATCTGCCATTTTCTTTGAAGAGTTGTTACCTCCACTCTGGTCTGCTTCTTATAATTTGCCCTGCAAAATTCATTCTCCCTGGCTTCCATTGTGAAAAGAACCCCAATTTAATAGGTGGGCATTTTTTACCAAATTTGGAGACTGTATGTCGTATCCTCTCAAGTGGTTAGGTGTGGCCAAAGGACTAGGTTATGGTTTAGAAGCTGTGGGCTGAAATAGGAGAGTTACAGGAGAGAGCGGGCTGGGCCTCCCCCGCCCCCTTCTTTCTGCTGCTTGTGCTGCAGATGTGCTCGCTGGAGTTCCCACAGCCTTCTTGGCGTGTGAGGCGACTTCTAATAGAAACAGTATGTGGTAGAGCAGAAAGATGGAAGGAACATGGATCCCTGGTATCTGGAGCTGGCACATCAGCCTTTGTCTGCTAGACATTTGTGTGGGAGAAATTCTCTCCCTTTTTTTTTTCTTCTCTTAACTCATTATATTATTATTACTAAAATTGTTTTTTTGGCTTGGGAAGGATATGACCTAATCCTGGCTGATAAAGGATACCACTGTTTAATGCTCTGTGTAGGAATGTGACAGGTCACATATAAAGAAACATGCTTTGTGTCGTGGTAGATTCTAGATCTATGTTGAAAACCAAAATCTCCTTTGAGACTAGAGAGAGATTAATTGGGATTGAAAGGAAAATACTTGATACATAAATTTCTGGAGCTCTTTGATAATTATATTGCTGAATATCATTTTCAAATGATTTTAATAGTTATCACCCATTATTTCAGAAAACATTTGATAGCTTTTAGGCAAAAAACCCCACTAACTATTGAGGATTGTAAATTGTAGCATATCATAATAATCTCAAGCCCTATGAATTTGTAATATTATTAGATATCTTGACTAATCATGTAGACAAGATCAGCTCATAAATATGACTTTTAATACTCTCTTTAACTATTGGAAGAATTTTGATAAATGTCAGCTTTCTTGTTTTTAACCTAAAATTAGGCAGGCTGCCATTTTTGTATATTTTTACATTTGCAAGATTCTTCAAGTATTGTTGTTGTTGTTTTTGGAGGGGGGTGGTAGGGGAGGTAATTAGGTTTATTTATTTATTTTTAGAGGAAGTACTGGGGCTTGAATCCAGGACCTTCTACATGCTAAGCGTGCACTCTATCACTTGAGCTATACCCTCTCCCGTCTTGGAATTCGGTAAATGAAATTAAATTTTTTTTATAACTGTAGACTTACTTTTTTTTTAGGCAGTGATTCTAAGAGTTATTCATAACTTTAATGAAATAAGTGATGGATATACATTTAAAAAGCTAATAGACTATTTTTTCAGAAGTTTTAGGATTATAGAAAAATTGAGCAGAAAGTACAAAGAGTTTTCCTTGTACCTATTCTCCAAGGTCAGGGTGTACACATTTTTATCCAGGGTATTCCACTGCATATAATGTTACATATATTAAAAAAAGACTATATCCCTGAACCAAGTAAGTATTATTTTATGATAGGGAAACCACACACCACTAAAAGTCATTTTTCTCTCACCCAGGGTCTCCCACCCTCAGCACTGTTAACATTTTAAGCTGGATAATTCTTCGTAGTGGGGAACTAACTGTCCTGTGCGTTGTAGGATGTTTAGCACCATGCCTGAGCTCTAACCACTAGATTCCGATAATACTCTCCAGGTGTGATAACCAAAAAATGTCTCCAGACATTGTCAGATGTCCCTTGGGAGGCATATTACCCCAGGTTGAAAACTTGCTCTCACCAATTTGCACAGTTTAGGATTTGCTGTATTTTTAAGGGTAGGCTCCAACTTAAGGAGTCTGTAGTTCAGTGAACTTTCTTGTAGAAGTTGTGTAGACAAAGTTAGAATCTTCCCTGGCACTTGGGGACCTTAGGCAGTAGGCTTAGTCTTACTGAGCCTTATTTTCCTTGACTGTGAAACAGGTAAAATATTATCTAACTTGCTTTGAGAATTCATTGAGATAAATTGTAAAAAAAAATACTTGGATTAATTTTAGTCTCCTTCATGTGTGCTATATTGTTTGAATTTATTCCCTTAGAGGTGTCAGAAATTCATTACTGAGTTCTTATTTCTGTGGGAAAAGGCTATCACAGTTTGAGATCTACTGATTATGGATTCACGTGTACTATACTGTGGGTGGATAAAACCTTTAAACAAATGTTAAATGAAGACTGGTTTATGGGGTCAGTTGTGTTTGGACTCTCTGTGGTGCTCTAATTAGGTTGTCACTACATTCAAATTGTAACAGGTAAGTGATCTTTTGTGTTCTTTCAAGGACTTTGAGCTCCTCAAATTGATGATAGTATTAGATGTCAGCCAATCACTTTGTCCTTTGAAGTTTTTGTCTTCATTTCTGAAATCCCACCAATTGTAACAGCTTGTGTGTCAGCTTCAATAGAGGAATCTGGCCTCTCTCAGCTTGTCCTTAGTCCTTTGAAGACTTCTAAAAACTTGCCATAGGTTACAACTGATAATGTCTACTACCCACTGCTTCCTTGTAGAATTATAAAGCATTGTTCATTAGTGAGTGAAATGCCACCTGTAATAATTAAGGCTATTCTTATTGTTCTACCCTTGCAGAAAATTTCCAAAGACTTGGTGAAGATAGGAAAACTATCAGAAAGGCTGTAGCGCTATTGTACTGTAAGTATTGCTTTGAAAAAGAGCTGTAAATTAAGAATATTTTAAGTATCCACTTGTTTGGGGGAAAATATGTTAGGCAAAGATATTATATGTAAAATATAGAGGAGGATATATTATAATCATATTAATAATTTATAAGAAGTAATCCTATGCAGTCTTTTAAAAATTGAGAATGTGTTCCTATGTATTGAGATGAGGATTTTACCAGTAGCATTGAAAAATATTTCTAATTCTAACAAGGATTGATCTAGTTTATGTACGTTTGCTTATTTAAAACTATCAGAATCCAGAAAATCATTGTAGTTTTGTAGGTTTGTGATTTGTTTGGGTGACTTATTGTTTAGGTTATTTTGCAGAATTATTTATTTGCTGATTTATTTATGTATTTCATTATTTATTTATTTGATTATTTAGTAAATTATTTATCTGATGAATTATTAATACATCTTCATGACATGCTTTAAATTATTTATAACTTAATTTTGAGTTTATTGCTTTTAGATGCTGCATTGTTACTGACTAGTTTTGATTTTTTTCTTTGTGGTTCTTTAAAATTAAAGTATTAGCTTTAAGGCAAAAGTATATTCATTGCATTCATTGCATTCATTGCAATGCCCAGGGTTTTTTTTCTAAGTAATTTATGGTAGTGATAAAATTTCAGTTATGCTTTTTAGCTCTAAATTTACCTGTTTAGGGTTACTGGTGATAGCATATTTGTGTGTTGTGTGCATACTCATTGTAGAGTCACTTACAAATTAATGATATAGTCTATAGTCTGTAAACTGAGACGGAACATGTAAACCTCAGTCCCCATTATCCTTGCTGTCTCTAAAGGGCAGGTCTGTATTTCTTACTTGCTTTATAAAAGATAATGGAGTCTTAGTTATTGTGTTTTAGCTATTTCACTACTGGTATATTTTTAGGAAAGTTCAGAGAAATGAAGGCCAGCTTAGCATTGGATCCTTGAGATATAAACTTGAGCGATGTAACCTTTTTTTTTTTAAATCCCTGTTATATGTATATTTGGGAAACAACATGATGTTTTTGTAGATTTGTATATTAGTCTTAAGGACATATTTCTCTTATATCTCCTTTGAAAGTTTTGTACCAGTTTGAAAAACTAAAAATGGACAAGGATCTTTATAAATGCAGGCTCTAGTTTCTCTGACTTTAGCTAGTTATTCTCCATGTAAAGTTTCTATTTTAACCAAATAAGGTATTTCTTCTTTGTTCTGACTGTGTTTCATGAGACAACACAAGTTATTAGTGCCTTCTTTTTGATTGAGCTTAATGACTACGTTAAAGTAACTGGGTAAAAGGGTATCATATGCACAACTTGCTCTTCTCCTGTGTTTGCTTGCAGTGAACTATTGTGTACTTTACAGTTCTAACATTTCAGAGAGAAGCAGCACTGTACATTTCAAGTCAGGATGCTATTGAAATATAGTGAAAATGACCTCTGTAGACAGATTTCACTAAAGAATTGTAAATGATGCATATGTAAACCGAAATTTCTTACTTTGAAATACAGAATATATGAATGTTTAACTGGAATATTGCTTGCCTTAAAGGAAGTGGTCTCATTTGATTTATATACATGGATTTAAAAATGTGCGTATTGTACGTATCTGTGACTTTTCTATTCTGGAGGGGAACGATCAGAGGTACTGTTAGATACGGAATTTTATTTTAAAGTGTGCTTCAGGATGCGAGTGTGGACTTTATTTTGAAGAAAAAAGCTGCCTTCTCCAATGTTGAATATGATCTATTATACTGGTTGTGTAATATGCCCAGTGCACACTGTTGATGCGGTTAGTGGAGTACTCCTATGTCTTCCAAGTGATCTTTCATTGGAAGATACACATTTGTGCACACACACATGCACTGTATGTGAAATTTTCTCCTGAATAATTTTTTAGGACAGTTTTTGAAAACAGACACTAGTGGAGATTGCCACAACAATAGCTAGCATTTCCTGAGCACTTACTATGTGCAAGCACAGTATTCCAATCTTTTACACGGGTTATTTGTTACTCTTCACAGTGAGATAAGGACACTTATTATCGTCATAAAATGAATGAGGAAACAGAGACTTAGAGATGCTCATTGCCACAAGCTGGCAGTAAGTGATGGCGCTGGGATTAGGACTCATTTAGTGTGCCCCTCAAGGATCTTCTTAGTCCATTACCGTTTTGTGTGTGTAGTTGGTATAATGTAGTTTTTAACCTGAGTTGTTTTTGTTTGTTTTTAGAGACTGAATTCATTTATATCTCTGATAGGTTTAACTTGCTATGTATATTCACTTTGTGTTACATTTGGTCTTTTTTAAGCAGTAGGCAGTACTTGAGCTTCTTGAATTTTCTAATTTTTAAATTTTTTTTTATTTTTTAAATTGAAGTCTGGTTGATTTACAATGTTTTATTAGTTTCTGGTGTACAGCATAGTGATTCAGTTATATATATATATGTACACACACACATGTTCTTTTTTATTATAAATCATTATAAGCTATTGAATATAGTTCCCTGTGCTATACAGTAGGACCTTGTTGTTTATCTATTTTATATATAGTAGTGTGTATCTGCTGATCCCAGACTCCCAATTTATCCTTCCCCCTCCTCACCCTTTCCCCTTTGGTAGCCATAAGTTTGTTTTCTATGTCTGTGAGTCTCAATTTTGTAAATAAATTCATTTGTTTGGATAGAGAAGTTGTGGTATATATGTGTACACACACACACACACACACACACACACACACACACACAGTGGAATACTGCTCAGCCATAAAGAATGAAATAATGCCATTTGTAGCCACATGGATGGACCTAGAGATTATCATACTGAGTGAAGTTAAGTCAGACAGAGAAAGACAAATATATGATATCACTTATATGTGGAATCTAAAAGATGACATAGTTGAATTTTCTGATTTGATTCTTCTTATAATCCTGTAGAGTGGATCCAAATTAAATACTGAAGAGGAATTTGTGCCTCAGGGAGAGTGAATGTTTGCCTGGTGGATGTCTTAGACTCAGAGCACTTCTTTTGACTCTCAAGGCCAAGGCCATTTCCAGGGCTTTGTTAGAGGAGGTGTTGGGAGATGTTGGGATGAGTGCCATAAGTGGCTGCATCTGGTGAATGGCAGGGTACTTGTGAATCACTTAGTTTTAAGTTGGATTTTTCAAGTAAATAATGTTATATCATAAAATTCTCAAAACCCATGGTTTAGGTAATACGAAATACTGTAATTGCTAGGATGACCACATAATTTATCTTCCAATTCAGGACAGTTTTGAGAATGAAAGAGTGTCAGTAAGTGTCAGGACAATGGGTGTCTGCTGGAACCATCCTGAGCAAATTGGGATCTGTAATCATTCTTGTAATACCTCACATTCCTATTGTATCATTCCTAATAGTGTATATAATATGTATTTAATAGGAATCTTAATTCACATACAGTATCTTTTGAATTGTTTTATTTTATGATAAGACAAACTTCTATTATGGCCAGTATTTATGTGGTTTGTAGCAAACCTGGGCAGTTTGTGGCTATGATTTTTATGGAGTATGACTGTGATGTTCTACAGCTTTTGGAATTTCTTCTCAAGGTGAAAGTAAAGAGGTATTACTATTGGGAGCAGAAAGATGAGTATGGCAAAGTTGGTCAGTATATTAGAGAGCACTAAAATTTTTCTTCATATCATACATTATAGGATTTTTTATACTTGTTTTGCTTTATAAATCTTGTGATTAATTGCATAGTTGACATTGTACTGAAAACTAATTCTACTTGTTTTACCGTCATAATTTATAATTTTATGTTAGATGATCTAGTACACTTTTTTTTCCCTTATGAAGCATGTTACATGTCATTTATATTGATAAGTTGGCAGTTTTGTGAAAACACTTTTGAAAACAACTGTTTTTCCTTGGTGAAATTCTGTGTGGGAAAACAGGAATCTCTAGAAGAGAGTTGCTTAAGGTTGTTTTGGTTTTTTGTATAGTTTTCTTTTTAATTCCCTCTTGATACATATTTATTGAAGACATAATTAGATACTAAATTTAAATTTCTAGTTTTTTTGCATTTAGAATATAGATGACTTGTTAAGTTGAACTAGGTAACTACACTGGTATATTTGTATTTGAATGTATATTAAAAAATCTTATGTAATAGTTCTTATTTACACCTATGTATAATATCAGAACTCTGTAGTTTAGAAAGGCCTATTATGCCTTGTAACAAAGGTAAGAGCTTCTGTATATTCTGCCTTGAATTTGTCACAATGTGAAGCACTTCATGAAATAGTACTGTAGTTGTAGGAGTAATATCGTAGCTCATGTGTTGGCTCTGAGAGTAGCTCCTCTATAATTATGACAAGGAAAAGTACGGCCAAAGGTCATGTTAAACACAAAATTTCTTTCACACCTCATCCTTTCTGTGGATAGCTTGTGAAGCAGTTTGGTCCTGCACTGAAACTTTCAGAGAGCAACCCAAGGTTGTTCCCACGAAAGTGTTGGAAATATCTTTCCCATACTTCCCATGTGGTTGCAAAATTTGGCACGAATGTGTATTTGAATCCTGCGCTAATTAAATAGAATCTTATTAAACTTAGAGTTTGCAGAATAAAAAAGGGGACTCTCATACTGCAAGGATTTCTTAGGGCACTAAGTAATACTGACATAGAACGGTCTTTCATAATACTGAATATGACACGGCTAAAAGCAGTGTCTTAGTACTGACCACTGTAGTCTTGATGTTGCTCAATGAAACACTAAAAACCAGACAACATAGCAACCATAGCAAAACAGGAAATAAAATCACACAAGTGAATTTATAGAAGCGTAGCATGCCTATACTCATACAATCTGTTGATTAGGTCCTATTTTTGACTTAAATTTGGCTACGTAAAAGTTGGAATACTGAAAAGGTCGTATATAGGAAAGCTTTCTATTAAAAAAAACTTACATAAAAAGAATATACATATGTTGCAGGGTGGTAA